TTTTTAAAATTTCAACGATTAATGCCTCATATACTATTTATTATTTAATTTTAGGAATTTTTATGGATTTTTTATTTTAATTTATCGTATATTGACTACTACAATTGTTTTGACTCAACTGGAGCGAAAGGATTTCCTTAAGAGCTACTTCTTAGGACCTTAAAAATGTGGAGATCAGATTAGAACTTGATTTTCGAAAACTGGCTTTGAACCAATGACTTCCCGATTTTTTTTTTTTAAATCATTTTTTTGTAAAGGGGGAACTTAAAAATTTAGAAAAAAAAATTTTAGATGTGAAAAATAAATTATTATGATGCACAATGACGATAAAAATTACTTCACAGTAAAAAATTTTTCGTCAATTTATGAAGTGTAAAAATTTTTGTGTAGCAAATTACACTCTAGTGTGTATAATTTTACATTCTCATGTGTTGATTTAACATACTAGAATGTAGAATTGACATTAGTTTGTGTAAAAACAGTCAGTAACACAAATATTTGTGTTAAATTTGACGAAATTTTTTTTACTGCATGTAAAAAAAATTTTTTTTCCTCTGAAATTGTAGGAAATGACGTTAAAATATATTTTAGAAAGCTAAAAAAGCTTTTTGAAAAAAAAAAAAAAACTTTTTTACGAAATTTTGGGGGTACCCCATTTTGCCCCCCCCCTCTCCTATATAGAATTATATATAATTATTTCCATAGAAATAAAAATATCTGGCGTGGGCAGGGATCGAACCTGGGACCTGACGCTTGGAAGACTGATTCACTACTTTTTTTTTTTTTTTTTAAAGAAGTTTATTTGCTTAGATAAAATACATTTTCTTGTTAATACATTATAGGCTGCATTACTTAACTTAAAAAAAAGCCTTAAAAATCTTAGATATAACTTATATCAATAGTTTAGACCGCAAGTCTCCTTGATTGGAGCGGCTGGGGTCTATCCGTTTTTCCTAATTAAATAATTATTGTTTATTTGTTCTCTAATCACTTGAAAATAAATATTGTTGTTTATAAATATTCTGATTTCTTTTATAATAATACTCAAGTGGAAAGTCATCTTCCAAAACCACTTATATAACTCATTTCATGCTTTTGCCCTTACAAACTAAATAAATAATATACAAACTAAAACTAAATTATGTACAAATATTTACAGTTCTTAATCTAAAAATTACACTGCACTATTCTGGGTGCAGCCTTCTTCTTAGCTCTTTACGATGCTTTGATTCATTGGTGAGCCACCAATATTTTTCGTTCAGCCTGTGATCGTCCATTTTATCTCTCGTCGGGAGAGCTCTTGAATAGGAAAAGTTAAACCATTTGAGTATTGGGTCATCTACAGCATAATCAATCCTTTTATGTGCTTTGTGTCTTTTCCAATGGTATATGGTTGGCACATTATGTTCGTCTTGGATGAGTCCTGCGTCGTCAAGCGGTAAGAATGCTTGAGGCGGGAGTGCACCAGTGTCGTTTCTCTTGGCTAGTTCGTCAGATGAAAACTTGGCCAGCTCTTTGATTGCCGGGTTATCGATTAGAGGTACTGATTCACTACCTGTTTACCTACTAGAACTTACTTGAAGGACAGAGTGTGTAGTAACTATAAGTAATATGAAAATCGTACACATGATCGATTCGTAATGAACAAAATTTTTTATGAAATTTATAAATTATTCATTATTAATATATATGTGTATATAATAATGATATCTATATGTAGATTTATAAAATTATCTATGTATGCGTAAAATCGCAAAAATGATTCTAAGAAATTTTTAAGGTATCTTAACACGTGTTCCGTTGCTTTAGAATCTATAATTACTTTAAAATTAAAATAATAATAGAGGTAGAATCAGAATTAAAAGCTCAAATTTTGAAGGAATTATTTGTTTAGTATGTGGAACTATATATTGCTGAAGGATCTAAGTAACAATTTTTAAACTTGACGAAACTGTTAATTTTTGTGAAATTTAATTTTTTTATAAGTTAATAAAGTTCTTATTATTTCATCCGCAAAATACTATAAATTAAAAGATTATATTAATCATTGAAGAAACAGACTCTTGGTTAAAAAAAAGAGAACGTCTTACAGTAATCACAATATATTGAATCCTGTAAAAATTATAACAGATAGATAGATGTCTGTACTTACATAAAATTGCAGAAATCTCTTTCAAGACCATGAATTCTATACAATTATACAAAGTTGTATACAATCATATATAATTGTATCTGATTATATAAAGTTATATATAATTGTAAAAGAGAATTCCGTAGAATTCTATATAAATGTATCTCCATATATATAATTTTATACAATTTCATAAAATTTTATAAAGTTGTGAAGGCAAATCACATAAAATTTTATACAATTTTGTCTATAATTAGATACAATTCTATATAATTGCATCTAATTATATATAATTGTATAAAATTGTATAAAGTTGTGAAGGTGAATCATATGAAATTTTATATAATTTCATGCAATTATGTCTAATTAGATATAATTCTATACAATTGTATCTAATTATATATAATTGTATAAAATTTAATAAATTTTTTGTGAAGGCAAATCACATAAAATTTTATGCAATTGTGTCTAATTAGATACAAATTTATACAAGTGTATCTAATTATATATAATTTTATATAATTCTCCTTCATGATTTTGAATAATTTTATATAATTGAATATAATTATATATAAATTATATCTAATTATATATAGACGATATACAATTATATATACTCGTATCTAATTATATAAACCTTAAGTTCATAGAAAGCTTTCCTGATTATTCCCGCGGCGTGTGTGTGTGTAACCCTCTTGACTTGACCAAAGTTAAATTTTCAATATGATTTGAACCAATAGATTTTGAGAAATCACAATAATAAAATTTTCAAAAAAATGTTTTGAGCTCTTAAGCTTAAAAAACCACGTCGATTGCCACCAATCCCATCAAAATTGGTTGATTCGTTCGAGTTATCGAAAACGAAAAATTTCGAAAAAAGTGTTTTTTTCACATAACTTCGTTTTTTTTCACAAAAAATCACGTCGATCGCTACCAAGAACGTGAAAATTGGTTGATTGGTTCGTGAGTTATCGTTGTCGAAAAAATTCGGAAAAAGTGAATTTTTCAAATTTCTCTAAAATTTTCGGTTCGATCAGTTTGTGTCCAAAAGTATATAATAGATTCTGAAAAAGTGCGTGGAATACTGCCAACCGCGTGAAGATCGATTCATTCATTTAGAAATTATTTCAGTTTGAAAATTCTGTTTTATTAAATTTCTATTAGCCTTTTGAGCTCGAAGAGCTCAAAAGCATGCAAAAGCTATTTCTTTAAGCTTGGAGAGCTCAAAATAACACACAAATTGTATTTTTGAGCTCGAAGAGCTCAGAAACGTCATAAGTGCAATTTCAAGCGTTTAGGTATAGAATTGGCGGGAAGTTGCAGGGATGGCCTTTAGAGTCAACCGTTTTCCAGATTTTTTTTTATTAGTTTTTACAAAGGTTTAGTTGTCGAGTAACACGAGCAAGCTTGTTCGAATACTGTTATAGTTCTGGGAAATGTTGACAAAGTTAGTTTTGTTCATTGTTTGCTTAAAGAAATTACTTTAATTAATGTGCTACAACAATTTTTGGAGCTGTATAAGTATAACAAAATGCATTATTTATAATTTATTATGAATTAAATTAAATACATTCAAATTATAGGGAATTTGCCGCGTAATGCATCAACGACGACACCTATTATATCCATCGAATATAACAAGTTTTCATACAGGGATTTTATTATTTTTAGATTTGTTATCATGCAGATTTGTGTTAATGAGCGTGTTCAGCCGAACTAAGTCCTGAATAAACTTAGTTAGCCTAAGTATAGTCAAAGCATTCCCTGCTATACATATATCTATTGTTATGCTTCCATCTAGTGGATGTTATTTTTATTTATTTAAAACTTTACTTACTGTAGTTCTTTCGCCCGGGAGTATTAAAATACTCGGTTTCAGTGCGGGAAAGGAATAATTTTAAATAAAAGAATTCTATTTAGACGTAATTTAATTTTGATCAAAATTATTTAGTTGGTTCCAATTTATTATTCGAGTTGACAAAATATTAAAAGCTTCAAAATATAAAATTGAGGTTTACAATGACGTGATCTTAGCAATCTAATCTCTCGATGAGAAGTGTCGTTACATAGTTTTTCCGAAGATCTTCAAACTCCGTTCTTCTCCCACCATAACTTCCACACATACATCCACTCTAAGGAATATATAAATACATACATTTTCTACTACATATAAATGATCCTTATACACTAACATGTATTTTCTCTATATCTATATATATTTACTTCAGCCGATCGGCCTGAAAGTTGGCCTTCACTTATATATACGTAAATTAGTTAACTAATAATTATTAGTTATAAATTAAATATAAGATACTAATTATTAATTATTTTAACTCAATTTTGCTTAACTACAATATTATATAAAGTTAGATTTTAACAGTAAATGTTATTTAACAATATTATTTTTGTTTAGTTACATATGTTTTTTTTTTATTATTCTTTGTTACTTTAGAACAAGGGTCTATTGAATTTCACACGTGTCTTTTACGACTTTTCCTCATAGGGTTTTAAGTTTCATCTGGCGAGAAAGTCCTTGAATTACTCAAGTACTTTTTATGGGTTTTGAAAATTCGGTTACAATGTACCTTTGTACCGAAATATGTTTTTTTTTTATTTTATTTTATTTTCTTTTGTAAATAAAACAGAGTTAACCAAAAGATGTTTATTTTACAACTGGTAAGAGTAAAAGCATTAAATAAAGGACTGGAATATTAACTAATTTTAATCATTTAATATTTACTAGTTTGAATATTTCGTTTGAATTCACGCTCTCATAATAGATAGCGCTCTAATAACAGGTAGCGTCACCTGTTGGATGCACTGGGTGCATCACACACTATCTACTATACTATACATATCTTACTAAGTTTACTCAGGACTTAGTTCGGCTGAACACGCTCAATCAATTTACTTATTTCATAGAATTATCCATAATGATAACATAAATTGAGCTCCAAAAATGAATTTTATTTTTAGATTGATTAAACTTATGTGCTACCTATTTTTTTGACATTTTTCTATTAATAGTTGTAAACTTAATAAGAACATTTAAAAAAAAAAAATAAAATAAAATGTATTCATACCTATTGTAATATGTTCTGTAATAATTTGTTGAATGATGTGAAGTTTTTATTATAGGTATATTTTATACTGATAAGTACTAATAAACACATTGAAAAAATAGTACCTATTCACACAAAAATTCAATTAAAACTGAATTAAGTTCATCTCTGGAAATATAAATATTCTTAAACTAAAAAATACGAGCTGCAAATAAAAAGTGGTTACGAACAGAAGTACGAATCGTTAAATTAAAGTCTAATACTTGGCGATTCTGAGCAGAAAATGGATGTTCATTTAGTTATTTATTCAAAAAAATTTATTTTTGATAATTTATTAATATCTCCTAATCGTGTCATCGATTATCAAAAAAGCCCAAGGAATGATGAATCATCACCGATACAATCATCTACAACAATCATTTTAGTGCCAATGAATACAAAGGGGTTTAGTGGATATGCAGGATCAGGTTATGTGACATTGATGAAAAATTCGTTATTATACCGTTCATCAGCTTTAAAACTTTATGCTGATTTAATACCACATGAAAAAATTATGAACTTCACCGGTATTTTTCTTATGAAATTAAAAATGCCTCGGAAACAATTTTTAGACTATATTTGGTAATTACACACACATATGTTCATATATATAGTCAAGATTTCTAAATTATTATTATTATTTTTGTTAATCTTTTAGATGAGTATCTTCATGTTTTGCCTATTAAAATCACATGTAGGAATGTTTTCTTTATAGGAACGAAATTATAACGTCTATGGTATTAGAGAGAAGAGAAATAAGTTATGCCATGTCCTGGTTGTCAACATTAGGCGGCGCGTTTTCAGCTATGGGAGATCAATTTTGTCATTGTGTAAGAAAATACATAACAAATAGTTTTTTATGTCATTTGGCTAACAACTTAGGTTCTCGAGTCTACTTAACTTACCGTAATAAGCAATTTTAAATCACTGGAATTTAACTGCATAATACTGATTTTCCTCTAAACGTTAAAATAATTTTTGAAAATTTTCAAAAGTCAGTTCTTTTCAACATTGGAAAGCTAGCTTTTAATAAAAAACGTGGTTTGAAGTCTGACCCTTAAATTTTATTTAAAATTATTTGAAGATTCTATAGGAAATTACGTTATTATTTATAAATTATGATTTTAACAAATGAAATTTGATAGTAAAACACGTTCCATTGTTTCACAATTGTAGTATTTTATTTTTCTTAACACTTACACAAAAAATTTGAATGCATTTGAATTTGACTTGAAAAATATTGTACGTGACACAGGACAAAATACTTTTGTAGACTTGGGGTAGAATCAGCTCTAGCTTACAGATTAGATGTAAAAGACTACCGCTGTCTCTACCCAAGAAAAAATTTTGATATATAATCATATACAATTATATATGATTATAATTAGCCAGTTTTTATATATGATTATACACACATGACCTTCTTACATATAATTATATATGATTATATATAAAAAATTTTTCTCAGGTATCTATCTTACTTTGTGATTTATTCTAGTCTAAAATACTATTGTGAATTAATATGAAAATTTTTTTTCAGGCTAAAATTGCTGGGAAAATTTCGATTCATCAATTCAAGTTAGCGATGCGTTTAGGTGACCCATCGGTAATTGCCTGTTGCAAATTATATGTATGTTTAAGTCTTATACAACAAGAAAAATATGATTGGCCAAAAATCATCATTCCCAGAATCTACAAATATTCAAAAACAAGTAAAGATGAGAACTTAGGAAGAATGTGTCAAGGAATATGGGCAAAACTTAAATATTGTTATAGTTTGAATAAAAAAAAGAAAAAAAAATTGGTTTATGTATCGTAAAGTGTACGAACTGAAATTGTGCATTTTGGTGTATATAAACTTATTACGTTCTTACTGATTTCAGTGATATGAGTGATGAGAGAAATAAAAACTACATTATCATTTAAATTTTAACTTAATTATTTTTGCATGCCTAAGGGGTTATATACAGTTAGAATTTTCAAAAAATCGATTTTTTTTTTATTTTATTTTCTTAATGTACATATATTTAAGAATACACACAGAAAATTTCATATCGTTCCGGTGAATATTTTCGAAATTACACGCAAATAAAAAAAAAAAAATTTGTATCCTATGTAAAGTGCTTTTCAAACTATAAACGCGTTTTTCTCAAATAGTCTAATCAACAAGTGCCTTTTAGGTCAAAATTTTTTCGCCTTCGAAAATTATGATTGAGGTGTCATTCGATTTGGAATGGCATGTAAATAGTTTTTGAGAAAATGCTAAGCCCGTTCGCAAAAATTGCAATAGTAATAAACAATTAAGTGAAAAAAAGGGGGTTTGGTTTTTCGTTAATATCTCAAAAACTATTTGAGATAATTTAAATTTGAAAAAAGATTCAAAAAGAAGAAGAAATTTCCTAAAAATAGTCTCGACTCCATTAATTAATTAACAATTTTGTCGGCCGCGATAGCCGTGCGCACTAATGCGTTAGTCTGTACGGGTATCGTGCCGATAGGCGCGGGTTCGAGCCCCAGCGGTTGTTAGAAAGGGTAAGGCTTAAAATCCCGAACGAAACTCTTGTCGACATAGAATATTAGTACGTAAGTTTCTATCAAAATTAATAGATGGCGATATATGTACACTAAATAAAAAAGAAAAGAAATTGAACGGTGTGAAATTCGCAAGCATGAATGATTATGATAGCAAGAAAGTATGAACCTCGGGTATTGAAAGGGCATCCCCAGGTCAATAATTATAACTTCTTCAGGAACATTAAGGGGAAATAGGCACATAATAAGTCAAAATATTAATCTGTGATATTAACGTCGTCAAGAGGAACGGAATTATGGACCCATCAGGCCCATAATTATATACCATAAAAAAATTTAAATTTTTATTAAAAAAAATACTCAGGATACGACAAATGTCATTCCAAACTAAAAATATAAATTAAAAACTTTGGTAAGACCCATAAGGCCCCGAAACGTCACGCTTAAAATTGTGCTAATCTAAAAATTATGTAGAGCCTCATCAGATCTCAACTCTGATTTCTAGTAAATTCTGAAAGTGATTTAGTGCGTGCTTACAAAATATCGGAGTTCTAGGAGCTTGAGGAGCAGCGTCTTTAAGGCTTGGCGCGTTTTTCGAAAAACGGTCAAGCTTAAAAATGATGTAAAACCTGTTCAAGCCTTATCTTTGACTGTCAGTGGGGTTTGCAGCTGATTTAGCGCAAGTTCAGAAACTTTTTGAGTTCTGAGTGCTTTTAAAGCGGCGCGTCTAAGGCCTGGTGCGTTTCTTAAAAAATGGGTGAGCCTAAGAATTACTTTGAACCTTGTGGGATCTTATCTCTGGTTTATAATGAAGTCTGCAGCTGATTTAGCGCAAGTCTATTAAATTTTATAGTTTTGGGAGTTTTAAAGGCAGCGCGTCTAAGGCCCGGCGCATTTTTTTAAAAACGGGCACACCTAAAAAATAAATAAAATCTATTCAGGTCTCAACTTTGACGCTTAAGTAGTGAAGTTTGCAGCTGATTCAGTACAACCTTACAAATTTTTAGAGTTCTGGCAAATTTAGAGCCAGAGGGTCTAACGCCTGGCGCGTTTTTGTAAAAACGGTCAAGCCTAAAAATGATGTAAAACCTATTCAAGCTTTATTTTTGAATTTTAGTGAAGTCTGCAGCTGATTTTGCGCAACCCGACGAATTTCTGGAGTTCTGGGAGCATTTAAGGAAGCACGTCTTAAGCCTTGCGCGTTTTTGAAAAAACGGGCACACCGCAAAATAAAGTGTAACTTATTCAGGTCTTAACTCTAACTTTTAGTGGAGTCTGCAGCTGATTTAGTGCAAGCTTACGAATTTTTAAAGTTTCGGGAGCTTAAAAGGCAGCACGTCTACGGACTGGCACGTTTTTTAAAAAACGGACTATCATAAGAATTGAGTAAAACCTAATCAGGCCTCATCTCTGATTTTTAATGGAGTCTGCAGTTGATTTAGTGCAAGCCTACGAATTTTTCAGAGTTATAGGAAATTTAAAGGCAGCATGTCCAAGTACCGGCGCGTTTTTTAAAAAACGTGCAAGCCTAAAAATTACATTGAACCTAATCAGATCACAACCTTATTTCCTACTGGAGTCTGCAGCTGATTTAGTGCGAGCCTACAAATTTTTAGCGTTTTAGGAGCTTTAGAGGCCGCGCGTTCAAGGTCTTGCGCGTTTTTGAAAAAACGGGCACACCTAAAAATGAAGTTAAATTTATTCAGGTCATAACTTTGACTCTTAGTGGAGTCTGCAGCTGATTTAATGCAAGCTTACGAATTTTTCGAGTTATGGGAGCTTTAAAGGCGGCACGTCTTAAGCTTTGCGCGTTTTTGAAAAAACGGGCGAGCCCAAGTATTAAGTATAATCTATTCAGGTTTCAACTCTGACTCTTAGTGGAGTCTGCAGCTCATTTAGTGCAAATCTACAAATTTTTTAAGTTCTGGGAGCTTTAAAGGCGGCACGTCTACGGGTTGGCGCGTTTCTTAAAAAACGGGCTAACACAAAAATTACCCTGAACCTTACTAGGCCTCATCTCTGATTTTTAATGGAGTCTGCAGTTGATTTAGTGCAAGCCTACGAATTTTTAAAGTTCTATGAGCTTTTAAGGCGGCACGTCTGAGGCCTGGCGCGTTTCTTAAAAAACGGGCACAACGCTAAATAAAGTGTAATATATTCAGGTCTTAACTCTGACTTTTAGTGGAGTCTGCAGCTGATTTAGTGCAAGCTTACGAATTTTTAGCGTTCTAGGAGCTTTAGAGGCCGCGCGTTCAAGGTCTTGCGCGTTTTTGAAAAAACGGGCACACCTAAAAATCAAGTAAAATTTATTCAGGTCTTAACTTTGATTCTTACTGGAGTCTGCAGCTGATTCAATCCAATCTTATGAATTTTTCGAGTTATGGGAGCTTTAAAGGCGGCACGTCTTAAGCCTTGCGCGTTTTTGAAAAAAACGGGTGAGCCCAAGTATTATTTAGTTAGGTTTCAAATCTGACTCTTAGTGGAGTCTGCAGCTGATTTAGTGTAAGCCTATGAATTTTAAGAGTTCTAGGAAATTTAGAGGCAGCATGTCCAAGGACCGGCGCGTTTTTTAAAAATCGTGCAAGCCTAAAAATTACATTGAACCTTATCAGGTCACAACCTTATTTCCTACTGGAGTCTGCAGCTGATTTATTGCGAGCCTACAAATTTTCAGCGTTCTAGGAGCTTTAAAGGCCGCGCGTTCAAGGTCTTGCGCGTTTTTGAAAAAACGGGCACACCTAAAAATCAAGTAAAATTTATTCAGGTCTTAACTTTGATTCTTACTGGAGTCTGCAGCTGATTCAATCCAATCTTATGAATTTTTCGAGTTATGGGAGCTTTAAAGGCGGCACGTCTACGGGTTGGCGCGTTTCTTAAAAAACGGGCTAACACAAAAATTACCCTGAACCTTACTAGGCCTCATCTCTGATTTTTAATGGAGTCTGCAGTTGATTTAGTGCAAGCCTACGAATTTTCAGATCACATGTAATTGTTGGCCGAGGCGAAGCCGAGGTCAACAAACATGTGATCTGAGGCTTTCTTATTTACTTCCCGTGGAGTGTATACTATTTTTTTGTCCGACGAAGGCGGAAAGCGGCAATCCCTGTGGAAAAAGTATTATAAATTCTGATACAAAACAGCTAACTGGGTATCAGAATTTATCAGTTAAAAAAATATTTATAAGATTGAAAAAATTTTCTGATACAGATTTCTATAAGAATCTATCAGTTAAAATTGAGACCAGTTTTGTATCAGGAATTACTGCTTATTTTTTTATAAGAATGATTAAGACTGAATAAGTCATGCGATTTTATCAGGTAATACCGCGGAAACAAATAAAAGATTCTATAAGAATATCTGGTTTCATAAGTTTATGTAAGTTTATTCTAGGATAGTTTTAATGAGATATACAAAGTAGATTCACATAGGATAATACTTGTAGAATCTTAGAGATACGATTTTTTTACTCAAATAAAAAAAATTTATGAGTTTATATAAGAATTTTCACTTGCAGAAGTATCTGATAAAGTATCGAAGATCAGTTATAATTTTTTATAAGAAATTTCTGAACATTCTTATTTTCAAACTCTATAAGATCAAACAAGGAATTCAGAGGATAAAGGCAGACCATTTTCTGGTAAAAATTTTATCAGATTTGATTAGCAAGTTATTGTTCGAATAAACTTGTGAAAACTCGAAGCATGCATGTATTATTTGATTCAAATAACCACTATAGCTTTTATGAGATTTTTCAAATTTCATCTAATATTTTTGATTATTCAAAGAAAACTTAAAGTAATTATTTCCCTACTAAAAACAGAATTTAGATTCATATTTGTTTAATTATTTATAAATTTTAAGTTGTTTTTTGAACAACATTGTCATTAAAAAAAATTATGTTTTGTGGAAAAATGGTTATAAATTTTATTGTTTTTAAAAACAGAGTTTAAGATATAATTATCTTACCTATTGTAACTCAATTTTTTAATTAAAATTTAATTTCAACTAAAACTTTTTTTGCAATTTTTAGTATTTTTCTTTTCAATCGCAAATTCTTTTTTTTTTTCAATCGCAAATTTTTTTTTTTAGTATTTATAAATCATTCTGGTGAGCATAGATGGGTATTTAAGTTTATGTACGAATAATTAATTGATAAAATAAAATAAATAGTGAATTATTGAATAATACTTTTGAGAAGGATTTGTAATAACATTTTTATAAAACATATCTGAATGTTTGCATAGTCTTATAAGATCTCATAAAAATTTATTTATAATCATGCTCGTATATATAAAAGTAAATATAAATACGAAAGTTTTCAGTTGGATTAAGTATTAAGTTTTTATAAGTATAAACATTATAAAAATATTTCGGAACATAAGAATATATCAGATCTTATAAGAATTCAATAATAACCACCTGAAGAAATTTAATTTTTTTTGACTGTAATTTTTTCGAATAAATTTTTAAATGATTATTAAAAAACCACTATTCATTCTAATCAATGCTCTGACAGAATAAAAGCATGTTGACTTGTTTTGATAAAGGATAAGATTTTGAAAAACATTAATATTTGAAATTCAAAAGATGAACATTAAAGTACAAAGAATTAAAAACACATAAAGTTTAATGTGATTTTATATTACTTTTTTAGAATTGACAAAAAAAATATAAAATTTAACAAAGTGTATGTGTGTGTTATATATGTTTACATGTGTGTATCGATGTTCGCTGTCTGTTGATAGAAGACGGATACAACGTACTATACAGTTGCAATATATCGGAAAACGGTGAGTATTGTTTGCATTTCTCTTAACCAATCACAGGGCTTTCCGCTTTAAGAGTAGCTAAGTGCGGCTCGGGTCTCGGGCTCTCAGTAGACTCGTAGACGCTCGACTCATCACGTATACGACATAACAGCATAGTTTAGTTTTTCGCCCGATTCTTTGTTATAAGTAATAAGTATCTTGCGCTTTTTTGCGATGTAATTTTACTTGAGATTTGACCTTCATTTTATTTTTAAATAATTAAGTTCAGTGTTGAAGTAGTATCCTCATGTATGCGTACGTAAAATTAATTAACAGTGGAAAATTTACTACTGTTGGAACTAATCAAATTAAAAATTACAAGCCGAATCGTCCTAGCAAAGTCTTTGAAGTGAAAATAAAAGGCGAATACCATAAATGTTTGATTGGATTAACAAATGGTGAGTTTTATATAGTATTACATTTTATATTATATTCTATGTATTTTAATGTTTTAATACGTTAAACTTTTAAACCATGTCTTTAAACTAAAGTCAACATGTTGTTCTTTCTAAATGACATTCAAAATCTTATAAATTATTTCTTACTTTTTATAAATTATTTTTTCTTAAAATAATCGAGTTTCATAGAATATTCGTCATAATAAACAAATATTTTTGGTAAAGTTTTTGATTCGTAACAAAGTTTAAAATTCTTTGTTTAATGAAACTCTTAGAATCTTGTAAAAGGGAAAAAATTTTGATCAGAATCTATGAGAAGTGTATTGAAAATGTAATTTTCTGATAATATATCGGTTCTGGTATAGCATTTATAAGTTTATCAGATTTTGTATGTTTATAAGAAACTATGAGAAGTTTATTAAGAATAAAAGTTTCTGGTAAAATATCGATAGCTACTAGCATAGAATTTATAAGTATATTAAATTTCGTATGCGTATTTTACTAAATTCTATAAGAATTTATAAGATCTTTACTGTTTTATTGTTATTAATTAAAAATATGTTATTTTAGAATCCAAAGAAGGACTGACAGATCAAATAAACAAGGGTGGACGAGTTCGATTTCCACCAGCAGCTCTGTTATCAGATTTATCTGAAATTGATGAGAAAACTTGTCCTAAAGAAAAGAAATCTGTCGTTGAAGATAACACTCGTGACATTTTAAATAAAAAGTTATCAGCAATAAATAAGGTATTATTCATAATTTTAAATGATTAATGATTTTAATTGATTAAACAATTAAATTTAATTTTTTTATTAAGTGAAAATCACTAATGAACAACACTAAATACTTAAATGAAAATTAATAATTCCTTTCAACAGTTTTTTTTACTTTCAATTATTATCCATATATACAAGACATTTTTTTTTTCAAAATCTAGATTATTACTGTCTTTGTCTAATTCAATTGACTATTCATGTCACTATAATTTTATACTTTATAACAATCAATGAGTTTTTCTGTCAGAATTTATGACTTCCTTCATTAATTTTTATGGACAAAATTTTTTTAATTCTCTTTATTCATGCTATAGACAAGATTATAACAAATAAACGTTATAGTAATTTTTAAAAATTTTAGAAAAGTATGTGAAATGGATCTGGTCAATTCAGAAAATTACTGTAAGTCTTTAACTTTGAAATTTATTGTAATGAACTAGTGAAAAATTTTTATTTTCATCTGTATTGTTAGGTGGGGTTTTGAATCTCTTTTAAAAAGCTTACGTTGCATGTAAATTATCCTAACTTACATGGTAGTGGAGAAACGATGAATTCTCATTGAGTCTCTTATTTGTAATCCTTTAAGCCGTGTGTTTCTCTAAAATTTTTGATTTTTCAACTTTTTTCAAATTAAATCTATTTAATTCAAAGTTTTGAATTTTTCTGAAACATTCTTTAATGATTGGAGATATCCAAATTAGAGATAAAATTTTTTTTTTCTTATTAATTTTAAATTAATGATCGAAGGAGCAAAAATTCATTCAATACTTTGGTTTTTAAATTGAGAAATGAAACTTTTATGTTTTTTATTTTTCATCTAGCATTGATTTTTATGTCATCAATTTTAAAAGTAAATTGTTTGACGAAATTTGCAATTTTCTTCATCGTTTTTTTTAATGCTCGTAAATTATTTATTATATGAAAAATGTTGAAAAATTTATATTCTTTTTAGGTATACATGGAATAGAAAACTGTTGAAAAATTATTGTTTCAAATAGCTTCTATGCCCATCAGATGTATCGAACAGAATTAAAAATCAAACTAAGTATTTTTACGGCTTAACTTTCATTAATGTAATTAAAAATTATTATTACCAAAAATAACAGTTATAATGTATAAAATAATATTTTATCATGATATTATTGGAGATGAACCATTCTAAAGTTCCTGGGTAGTATTTGTCATTTTACGAAACATAATTTTTGAATAGCCGTATTTGCTGTAGTAACTACTAATGTTTCAAAATTATTTTTCGACATTAAATTTGTTAAAATTATCTATAGCATTGTTTATAAATATTTCTATCATTACTTACTTCTATCACTACTGATATCATTTTCGACAAAGCAGCATGTTGCAAAAGAATTTACGCGTATTGACACTAGTCTTGTTAGCCACTTTGAAACCTAATAATTATTATATTAGTCTAGTGTCATCAGTACAATTTACACTAACATACTATTATGTGCGAATCGCCCTAGTGATTTTCTTTTACTTTTTTATGACTTCATGCTGCCGTTTTGTTAAAAAATGTATGCCTTAGAATTTCGTTATGAACTCTAACTTGATCATGATATCTTATGTTATTTTTTATCATCTGTGAATGATAGATATACAAATGTGTCCGTCATTTTCTTGAGTAATTCTTTAATTTTTGGAATAAAGTCAAAGTAAAACACAGTATAAAATTTAAAAAAGTAATTGCATACACATGCAATATTTATTTAAAGAGTTGATTTTAAAGCTTTTAAACAGTACTTTGCATTAGTATAAAAAGTGAAAACCATAAAGAGCAACAAAATAAATTTGTAGTATAGGGGAAATTTTTTCCAATGTGCAAATAATGATTGGAATGATTCATTCTTTCAATATTTGTGTTCGATTTTTTTTTATTCCAGTCCTAAAATCAGATTTATCACTTGATTTCAATTCCGAGAAAAATAGTGAAAAGAATTTTCTTGAAACTTTTTTTTTATTTAATACCTCATATAAACTCTTCTAGATTCATAAAATGTACAGGTTTCAAAACATTGAATGAAGATATTTACATTAATAGCATGAAACTATAATTTACTTCTTAATAATGTATCTTCATTGTTGAATGTATCTTACCACATATTTATATAAAAAATATTAGCAACTAATTTTTATTTTATGGTACAAATTTTCTCCTAAATACTAGGATCAATAATTTGTTTCAACCTATTAAGATGAAAAGATTAAATAATCGTTTGCTAAATTCATCGTGCAATGAAAGCAGTGTAAGCAAACGAACAGTATACCGTTGGAAACAAATATTTGCTGATACTACTAAAAAAAAGAAAATAAGTAGGCAAAACCATTCTTTCCAATAAATTATCTGCAATATGTACGGTATTAGTCGATTTAATTCTGAATAGATTTCTCGGAGGAAATATAGTTGATCAAAATATAGGTCGTTAATGTTTTACACATAGTAATTTGTGATTAAAAAAAATACATAGGGACTTATACGAGTAAACTTATATAATTCAAAATTATTCATGTTGTTTAATACCTACACATTATATGTGACATATTAAATAATTATTTGAATTCTTTCAAGTATTTTGCTTCAAATGAAAATCTATGAAATATATATCTGATAGTATGGTTAAGGAGATCCACGCAAAGTAGTCAAACTTTTGAAACTTCCTGAAAATTTTTAAATTCAATCTACGTAGCCTAACAATTAATAAAAAAAATAAAAAAAGTAGATTTCCGAGATATTTAATGAAATATTTCGGTTTAAAAATTGTAATTTTTACATGTAGGTAAATAGAGATTCCACCAGCCGTGTATTTGGTTAAAAATTTAATGCAATTAAAGATTTAAAAAAAAATTTATTTTCATTAAATTTGATTGAAAAAATATTAATCTTTCGATTAAAATAGTAAAAAAAAGTAAGTTTCCAAACGTATTATGGAGATATTTTATATTTTTTATATATGAAAAATCACAAAGAACTTCCGTTCTTTGAAGTCTTGTATTTTACTTGGCAACACCGCTTACGCAGTTATTCAAAGCATAAGTATACTTATGGTTATAACCGCTGTTTTTTAAATGCTAGAAGATCTTAGTAATTTAGTTAAACAATAAACATAAATAAATTTAAAGGTTAGGGAACTCTTGTGGTGTTGTCAAGTGTATACTGGTAATTCAGAGAGCTATATTTTTTATTAGTCAGTTAAATGTTAATAATTATTCAATGAGTAAATTTTTCGGAAAGTTCCTCAAAAATGGTATTAATTTATTTAAAAATTAATTTTAAGATGCATAACAAAAGTATTTCTACGTACTATTTTTTTACACACATTCTTTACACTAGGAGGGTATTTGGATCTCCTTAGACTTACTCCATTGTTACTTATATGAAAATTGTAAAAATTTTAATGAGAGTGATGAAAAATTGTTCAACTTTTTATTGTTAAATATTTATGATCGTTTAGATATTTCATTTTTTATATTAAATAGTCATAAAGTGCTTACTCATATTTAATTAATTAATTTATTTGTTTACTCCACAAGTGATGGGCTTTTGCTCCCCAAACATTCAATTTGATTTTGACATTGTATAATTTAAGATAGTTGTAAATCTCTTCAATTTTTTTTTGCAATCATAGGTATCAATCAATTCATGATTACCGATTCAGTATCCCCTAAGATATTTACTTAATGCAGTCAAATATCCGTACTAACTAAACTATATGTTTACATTTTAGTTACTATTTAGAATCTTTGTGTTTTCAATTTCGTCTTATATCTTTATTTTTCTTTATGAATCTAGATGATGATTCGCCCGACGAAGGGAGGGTAGTTAAACAAAAGTGTAATAAAAATGATCCTGATTTCGAAAAATTTACAATAACAGATGACGATACCACTGTAGATGATAATATAACTATTTTAGATGATCATATACAAACTTACTTTGATAATGAAAGCATATGTGATGATGCATCTATTGACAGTAGTTGTGATGATATTTACAGTATTTGTTCATGTTGTAATGACGATATTTCTTCAGACGAAGAGCTTAATACTGAAATTGATAACGAAGTACTGAATGAAAAATTATTAGAAACTCATAAAGTAGAGGGTGATCGTATAATTCTATTTCAAAAAATTTAACTAAAACTGATGAAAATGATTTACTCAAATTAGTAAAGGTTTTAGCTGGACCTGATTTTGAAGCATGGGACTGTAGTTACTATTTAAGATCAGAAATTTTTGGTGTAGCAGATGATAAAGTAACACTCAATTTTTTTTGTGAAACTTGCAACGTCATTCTTACAAAACGAAGCTTGCAGAATGGATCTAAGAAAGAAAAAGTACAATGCGAAAAATGTAAAAAAGACCATAACATTTCATCTCAAGCAACGAATTATTTTATGAGTGTAGATGTTAGATATCAGATTCAATTAATTTTGAACCAACCACAAATCCAAGACAGTTTTTTTAAACACATAATAGCAGATAATCAATCATCTAGTATTTCAGATATCCGAGATTCTAACTTATATAAAAAATTTAAAAGAGAGTATCCACATATTTTTACATTAAATTATAATACTGACGGTGCTCCTATATTCAAGAGTTCAAAGCAGAGCTTTTGGCCTCAACAGTTAATTATAAACGAATTACCGCTATAGGACCGATTCAAACATATTATTCTTGGTGGTATTTTTTTAACGGACGCGGAACCTAAATCAGAATTTATGAATCTTTATAATGAAGAATTGTGTAATCAAGTTATCGACTTAATGGACAATGGTGTTGATATATTTAATCATTCAACCAAGAAAACTTGTAATCTAAAATTTGCATTACTTTGCTGTTGTGTTGATACGCCGGCACGCGCAACTTGTCAAAATCGTGTAAAATTTAGCGGTTTCTATGGATGTAGTTGGTGTTACGAACCCGGTTTTTATGTAGGTCATGCGGTCCACTATCCACTAAGTGAAATTGAACCAGACTTACGAACACATACAAGTCATTTAGCCAATATGAAGGAAATAGAAGAAATAAAAAAGTCCTCTGTCATCAAAAATAAGACACCAACAGTTATGGGTGTCAAAGGGTCTATGATTTTTGTGGAAAAATTGCCGTTTTTTGATAGTATTTGGGGGTTCCCGATAGATTACATGCACGGTTGTTTGTTTGGAGTAACACGCCAGGTTTTGGAATTATTAAAAACACCCGGAGTAAAATATAAATTAACCAAGCAAAACCGCGAAGCTGTTGATCAACGTTTAATGTCGATAAAACCACCTCATGAAATATATAAATTACCCCGACCAACTGCTGATATGAGTAAGTGGAAAGCGTCTGAATTTGAATCTTGGCTTTTATATTGGAGTCTTTTATGTCTCGATGGCATTGCAAATCCAGAATTTTTGGAAATGTATGCTCTTTTTGTTCGAGGTGTTTTTACTTTACTTAAAAGAGACATAACAAAAGAAGATATTGCGAGAACCGAGTACGACTTAACTAAATTTGTTGGAACATTTCAAATTGAATTTTCAAAGTCAGCGATGACGTTCAATTTACACTCCGTCAGGCATTTGTGTAAATCTGTACTAGAAACTGGACCAATGACAGGAACATCAGCTTTTATATTCGAAAATGGAATTTTTAATTTTAAAAAAGAAATTACTGGTCCCCGAAGCGTCAGTCACCAAATTACTAAAAAATTCTTGAAAAAAAAAAATGCTTTTATCAAGACTAGATTACTTAACTACATCCTCTCAATGCAAACATTTTTGTCAAGAATTATTTCGTCACGATGACGTAAAAGATTTTTTGAAACTGTCTGACGAAATAACTTTGATAGCAAAAACACGTATATCTGTTCAAACTGAAAATGAAATAAAGAACTTCATGAACGATAATAGTATTTTCATTAATGTGTATAAAAAATGTATTTACAAAAAAACTGTAATTCACAGTAAAGACTATACTCGAACAACAAAAACAAACGATACCTACATACAATTACAATCTGATGAAGTCATTCACATCCATCATTTGTTAGTCATAAAAGACCAATGCTATATCTACCGCTGTTGCTTCAATATTATTCCTTATGCAGTCGGTAATGTCGAAATGGATCACATTCATTGTATTACTAATAAATGTGGTGATCAGAAGATAATAACAAACATCCGTAATTTCAAAAATAAAGTAATATTCATTGAGATAAATCATTCTCAGTACATTTGTTTTTTCCCATATATTTTAAATTTAAATTGATTTATTTATACCATTTCACTGCATATTTATACCATATTTATTCCACATATTTATACCATTACACTACTATAGATCGTATCAAGCAAATTTACTAAATTAATGAACGGTTAGTGTATAAATAATTGAATTCATATATTTTAGATTCTTAGTTAATTATTATTAAGCATCTATTTATTTCAACAATAGAATAAAAATATAAATTCTCAAGTCTGTATTATTATTGTTGTCTGCAACAAAACTAAATAATGACTCAATTGGTTAAAAATGATTTTAAATAATTATTGATAAAGTATAATTATAATTTTGTAAAAATATTAAATAATTTTCAACTGAAGATGAATTTTCATCTGAGTTTAAATGAGATTATTCATCATCTTAAAAAAATAAATCATTGGTTAAGTGATAATAAAAAACGATATAATAATCATAATAAGTAAATACAATAATCGTTTCAGCATGTTTAAATCGAGAAAAATTTTGGCTACTAAAATACAGTTAATATATTTGTAAATTTTAGAATATGCTATTACAAGCTTCATTATTATTGATTAGGATACTATTATTAAAAAAAAAAACTCATTCGTAACAGTTATATAATATTTTAATATTATAGGATCGTTATAGTACTGAAAAAGACGGTACTATAATTTCAAACATTGAGTCAAGTAAGGAAACAAATTATGATTCCAAAGTCAAAAAGAATAAATGTAGCAAGGTAAATTACATTTATTTAAATTGTTGTCTTATGTCAAATGTTTTTTTTTTCTAATATGCTCTCCATATTTTGTACAGCGGAAAAAAAATGATGACACTTTCATCTCGCAATCTGATGGGCATTGTAACAAAGAAAATGTATGTTATTGAAGTTCAATTTTATAAAATTGTAATCAATTGCGAAGTTCATATCATTATTTTGTTTTCTTTTCATTTTTTATAGGAGCCCATATGTCCAAAGAAATTAAAGAAAGAGACGGAATTGCCTAAGGTAAGTTTCTAGAAAACATAAGATATTTGATATAGTTACTAATTGTATTGTATTTTACAGAAAAAAGAAATAATTCAAAAGAACAATGAATTAATTACTCAACAAGTATGTATGCTATGAAAAAATTTAGTAATTTTTCTAGTAAATTGATGATGATTAATGATATAGTTTATATTCATTTAGATTATTATGGTAAAATCGAAAAAAGACGAAGCTTTTGAAAGACCTGTAGAATCAGATGAATGTAAAGTTGACAAAAATAAATCAGTTCCGAGTAAACGAATTCAGTCATTGACTCATTCTGACAATACATTGGCTCTGATTGACAGAACAATTGAGTTACCATTAACAGTTTACGAAGCTGGCTCATCACAACATGGCACTGTACCATTTGAAATGAAAACAAAATCATCTGATGACCCAACTACTTCGAAGTAAGTTTTGATTATTCATATGCATAATGAATGTTATAGATTTAATTATAAACAAAAATAATTTCTGTTTCATAAGAAAAAAATGGCACTGACTCTGTTTTTTTTTTTTTTTTTTTTTACGTAGTTTATGATGAAAATCATAATTTGTAACATAAAATGTTTTTTTACGTTTATAACATGCGTTTAATTAAATCTATGTTTTTTTGTTCTGTTCATGCTGAATTTTTTTTATTTGTAATTATAGTGCTCACAAATGTAAAAGAAACTATTAATATACTTCATGACTTGAATTTTATTTTAGTGTTTTGAAATCTGGAAAAGCAAAGAAAAAAAAACATCATGATAATAAAAAGGATGAGTTGATCGTGCGAATGAGTGAAATTGAACGCCGTATTGAAGACCTCAAAAAAGAATTAGAACTTCAAAGAAAAATGATCCAAAAAATATTGGATTTTTGAAATGAGCACAAAGGTATTAAACTTATTTGTTATCAAATTTCACTGTACATAGTTTCATCAAATTTCAAATAATTTTTAAAGTGCCGTTAAAAAAAAGGCAATCAATATTTTTATCATCCATTTTTTTCATATGCTATATTAACATTATAAGAATACAGAAACAAATAAAAAAAATTGAAAATTCGAACTTCTTTCGAATTTTTTAAAAATAGTAAAAATTGAAATTTGGGGATGACCGTAGTTCCGACCATTTTATAATTTTTAGGTAAGATTGATAGTTAATCAAAAAAAATTTAGGGAGATTTCAATTTTACAGATACTCCGTCAAATCAAGGATCGGTCGAATTGGAGAAAAAAACAGGGCATCCTCGAGTTGGTTTTACTCGTGTATCTGATAATAGTGTAAGTGACATTTTTTATTAATATATAGAATAAAAAACTTACAACTAATTACAAACTACTATTATAGATTCATTTAGGACAAGGTGTTTATGTACCCAAAAATTCATATCTGACTGCAGCAAGTAGGTCTAAAACTCCATCACAATTTGTTCGGAAAATGATCATGGCTGTATTCTCACCAAAAGAATTACAAGACAATAGTGTTCACGGGGCTAAATCAAATAAAGTGAAACAAAAAAGTCAAAAACGAGGGACTGGATCCTGTAAGATTACAAGCCGTGAAAGGTACACAAAATGCATCCTTAATCTTACGTTGTCAGCATGTTTTCTATTTTTTTTTCTTATTATATATAAGGTAAAGTATCCAGTAGTTGAACAGGTTTCAAAGTAAAATGTATTTGACCTTATTTTTAATAGTTAATTAAAGATGTAATTATTAGTTTAAATTAGTAATTTTCATGAAAATATAAACAATTTTGAACCGATTAAAGCGCAACATAACAAAGATATTTAATTTGCATATTTTTACAACGTTTTTAAGATATATACCATGAAGGGAATAGAGTAGTTGAACAATCAATTCTAACAAACTACAGTAGTTAAACACTCCAGGAGCAGTAATTGAAATAATAAAATATATGGCAATAGGCACACTAAAAATTTTCAACGTTTTATTGAAATATCAAAAGAATTAAAACATATTACTATTTAATATTGAAAATAATACTATAAATATTTGATATGTTCACTTAAAAATGAGAAATATTTGTATTTAATTTTTTTATTATATTTTTTATGAATGCCAAAGTAAATCATCAATTATAAATAAAAAAAATACTCAATTCAAAACGTTCAATAATTTTTAACTGCATTAATTTTTAGCTGTAAAACTTATTCAATTTACAGAAATGAATACAAATCACAATAGTGATCACTAGTGTATAAGCCTATTAGAGATTAGAGTGCTGTTAAAACTATACGAATCCAGCTTGTTCAAGTTCTGAGTACCACTTTGAAAATTTGGAGACATAGTTAGACGCTAAAATTTAATACTAAAATTATAATTTATGTCTTTGCAAAAATTATGTCTTATTTGGAAAAGACTATTCAATTAGGTTGTACAAATTATTTTACTTAAAATGAGGATGTACCGTATTTTTTTACTGATGGTTCGGTTCACGGTTCAGTACGTTTTTCATGGAAAAATAGCATCTATCGGCTATTCTCGACATGTCAATTTTTAAGTTAACTAAAATATAATTGTTTTGATTTATAATTGAAAAAACTTACAGAAATCATTTACTGTATCATTGAATAATTATAACATGCGCATATTGTTGATAATAAATTTACGGATTTTTTATTACAACAATTCGGAACGTCTGTTCAAGTACTGGGTACTTGACCTTATTGTAAAGTATCTATTTGGTATAATAACTATTTCAAAATGTTTTTTCATCACAACAATTTAATGACAATGTTTATTAGAATGACTAACTTTATTTTAAAAATTAAATGTTAAAAACTTTCACAGTATATAGTACGAGTACGTCAGTACTTGTAATTAATTTTTTAACTATAAGCTTGATGTTATATATATGTATATATAATTTATATATTTATACATATATATAAATATATATTTATTTAAGAATTCTTCACAGAAGTTGTTTTCACTTTTTCATCGAATTAGAATTTATTATCTTAAACATTTCAATTGCAGATATTTTTTCATATTATCTGAAAGAATTAGCCCAGTTTGATAAAGAAAAACACGATGCACAGATGAAACAGTTTTATAACTATATATCGAGTAAAATAACCGATACCCGAGCCGAAAAGAAACGTCCAAATAAAAAGAAACTACCAAAGGTAATTAAAATTTTAAAGCATGATCAAAAATAAAAAATTTATAAATATTTAAACTCAAAAAAAGTTCAACCTATTTTGAAGTAAATTTTAATTCGTAATTTGTTCATTCTTCAGCTTAAGGACAATAGTATGGGTGTTGTATAAATTTTTTTTTTTAGGTAAATCCGGTGGAAAGCAGTGACACTGAAGATATTTCAGACATTGAGGAAGATACCATAGCCTCAAATGGAGAGGAAGATAGCCCTGTGGAAAAAGTCTGATAGATTCAAATAAAAAAACGATATTCGATGGGATGTAATCATAAACTATTGTGTTTTTGAAACAGCAATTCCAAATACATACAGATTGACAGGAAAACTATGATTTCATTGAATTCTATCTGGTTCATATTCAACAAATTGGATTGTATCAGCATTTTTCTTTGATTATTAGTTCAAATTTTAATACTAGAATTTTCGGAAAAATTTAATAAGATTAAATCAGTAAATTGTTCAGTTTTTCACATCGGGAAAACTAATAAAAAAATATAACAAAAGATTGTCTGGAAAAGTTTCAATGCATTATTTTCATCAAGTAATAACTGGTACAGACATAATGATGTCTATGAGAATTTATCAGTTAAAGATACATTGTCCATCTTGACAGTAT